TCACCTCAGCCTCCCAAAGGCGCGGGATTATAGGCTGAGCCACCGAGCCCGGCTTCCATTCACTTTTTAAAATCACCAAATTTCTTATCATTTAACCTTCACCACTTGTTTCAAGTTGAGAAAGAAGGTGGATTCTTGTTGATGGAAAAAAGGGTTGGAAAACATAAGACATCTCATTAGGTAATGACGTCAGTGGAAGTCCAGAGTCTAGGTGTTTTAGAGATGCAAAGAACTTGCAAAATCACCAAAATTCTGCTCATGAACATGGCAGGTCCACAGCCATTCATGTGTTGCCATGATCAAGTGTGGGTTTGGCACCAGGTCTAATTCTCAGCCTGGCACCAGCTCTACCCTAAGTCAGACTGAAGATGTGGTCTTGTAAGCATTCTCCAAGAGCACCCTTCTTCTCATGGTGCTGCTTTCACACAAGACACTTTAAAAATGTGACACAGCAAAACCCTATCAGTATGCACTTCTCTGGCAATCTGCCCAACCTAACAGATTAATTCATAAATGAAAAACTCATTGATTTATCAGTTAGCAGAAATAGGCACGGTTACTTATGAAGTAAAATCTGCCAATGTTGACAAATACGCATTAGACTGACTGCCAGCCACATTAATTGGAATGAGGTGCTACTCTGTGAACAACAAACAAACAGGCAAAGGACACCTGTGGATTACAGATGTCTCGGATGCTTCTAGAAGCACATGTGCTGGAAGCCTGTGGAACACTCACCACTGCCAGCACTCCCCTCTCGTCTGCCACGGGAGCCCCCGCCGCCATCTCTGCCAGACTTGATGCGCTGGAGCAAGAAGGAGACACAGTCAGAAGCTGCAGCGACGTTCCTTCAAAGCTGACAGTGCTAGCAGCTGACTCTTAACAGCAACACAGAACGTAGCCCTCAGGGCTCACCCATCATACCGAGAGGAGATTCCTTAGAAAGACTGAGCTGTTTTGCAAGTAAAGGGTTCAAGGCTTGTCCCTCCAAGACTCCTGAGGGCATTAAAACGGCACTCTAATTCAAAAGTATAGCATGGCCTTGGCTTACACAAACAACTAAAAAACCACACTGTATTTTCTTGACGTTTCAGGGCTTAACATGATACTTAATGTAAGGAGAGTCTACAAAAAGCCATTTCCTACATAAATCCTAATCTATTATTGCTGGCCTTCAACTACTTGAGGGTAAAAAAAAAAAAAAAAAAAAAGATAGCTGGGCTCGGTGCTCTGCCTGTAATCCCACGCTTTGGGAGGCCGAGGTGAGTGGACTGCCTGAGCCCGCAGGTTCAAGACCCACCTGGGCAACTTGGGGAGACCTCATCTCTACAATAAATCAAAAAATTAGCCGGGCGTGGTAGCACACGCCTGTAGTTTTGGCTACTTGGAAGGCTGAGGCGGAAGGATGGCTGGAGCCCAGCAGGTCGAGGCTGCAGTGACTAGGAGTGGCTACTATACTCCAGTCTGGATGACAGAGTGAGACTCCAACTCAAAAAAAAAAAAAGGTAAACTCGCCATTATTCTTTTTTAATTAATTAATTTTTTGAGTTGGAGTCTTATTCTGTTGCCCAGGCTGGAGTGGCACACTCACAGCCACCCCGGCATTGACCTGTTGGGCTCTGGTGATCCTTCCACCTCAGCCTTCCAAGTAGTCGAAACTACAGGCGTGCACTACCATGCCCGGCTAACTTTTTGATTTACTGTAGACGATATCTCACTAAGTTGTCCAGGTTGGTCTCGAACCCATGGGCCCAGGCAATCCACTCACCTTGGCCTCCCAAAGTGCTGGGATTATAGGCTGAGTCACCGAGCCTGGCCTTAATTTATTTTAAAAATAAATGTATTTACTTATTTTTGTAGAGACAAGGTCTCACTATGATGCCCAACTGGTCTTGCACTCCTGGGCTCAAGCATCCATCCACCTCAGCCTCCCAAAGTGCTAGGATTATAGCCATAAGCCAATAAACCCGATCAAAACTGGCTTTTAAAATTCAACTTCTAGGCCGGGCTCAGTGGCTCAGCCTGTAATCCCAGCACTTTGAGAGGCTGAGGTGAGTGGATTGCCTGAGCCTGTTCAAGACCAGCCCTGGGAACTTAGTGAGACTTCATCTCTACAATAGATAAAAAAATTAGCCAGGCATGGTAGCACGCGCCTATAGTTCTGACTACTTGGAAGACTGAGGCAGAAGGACTGCCAGAGCTTAGCATGTTGATGCTGGGGTGGCCGTGAGTGTGCTACTGCACTTCAGCCTGAGCAATGGAGTGAGACTCCAACTAAAAAAAAAAAAATTAAAAAAATAAAATTCAACTTCTAAAATAAAATCTCAAAATACCCAAGATCTGTCCAACAATCTACTTGGACCCAACCAACCCTCAAAGTATAAAAAATACCTCCACGCTGTGATATTCTTGGATTTTTCAACTTTTTTTTGTATGTGTGATATCTTTTTTCCCATTTTTATGTTATTTTAGATTCTTAGCAGTACACGTGCAGATCTTTTACGTAGGTATATTGTGTGATGGTGAGGTCTGGGATTTGGTTGAGCCCATCACCCAGGTGGTGAGCATGGTACCAGCAGGTGGTTTTTCAGCTCTTACCCCCTTCCTCCCCTCCCCTTTCAGGAGCTCCAAGTGTCTGTTGTTCCCATCCTTATGCTTGTGTGTGTCCGGTGTTTAGCTTCCACTTGTAAGTGACAATATGAAAAATTCAGTTTTCTGCTCCTGTGATAATTCACTTAGAATGAGGCCTCCAGTTGCATTCATTTTGCTGCAAAGAACACGATTTGCTGCTTTTTTATGCTTGCATAGTATTCCATGGTGTACATATACCAACTTTTCTTTATCCAGTCCACTGCTGATAGGCACCTGCTATTGTGAATAGTGCTATAACTAGTGTACAGTGAAGGGATCCTTGTGGTAGAGTGATTGATGCTCCTCTAGACCCAGCATTGGGATTGCGGCATCAGATGGCAGGTCTATTTTTAGTTCTTTGGGAAATATCCATGGGGCCGATGGGCACATATTCTTTTTTTTTTGAGTTGGAGTCTCACTCTGTCGCCCAGACTGGAGTGCAGTGGCCGCTCCCAGCCACCACAGCCTCGACCTGCTGGGCTCCGGCGATCCTTCCACCTCAGCCTTCCGAGTAGCTGGAACTACAGGCGTGCGCTACCACGCCCGGCTGATTTTTTGATTTATTGTAGAGATGAGGTCTCGCTGCCCAGGCGGGTCTCGAACCCGTGGGCTCAGGCAATGCACTCACCTCAGCCTCCCAAAGGCACGGGATTACAGGCTGAGCCACCGAGCCCAGCTTACATATTCTTACCAATAGTGCACTTGTGTTCCCATTTCTCTGCAACCTCACCAACATTGGTTGCTTTTCGACTTTTTAATAATAGTCATTCTCTGACTGGGGTGAAATGGCATCTCATCGTGGTTCTGATTTGCATTTCTCTGATGATTAGCGATGATAAGCACTTTTTTGTGTTTGCTGGCTATTTTTATGTCTTCCTTTGAGAAGAGTCTGCTTATGTCCTTTGTCCACATTTTTAACATGATTGTTTTCTCTGGTGGATTCATTTAAGTTAATTTTTATATATGATAAAAGGTAGGGGTTTGGCTTCATTCTTCTGCGTATGGTTAGCCAGTTTTTCCAGCACCATTTATTAAATAAAGTGTCCTTTCCCCAGTGTTTTGTTGTTGTTGACATTGTTAAAGATGAGGTTGATTGTAGGTCAGCAATTTTATTTCTGGGTTCTCTCTTCTGATCCATTGGTCTCCATCTATTTCTGTACCAGTACCATGCTGTTTTGGTTACTGCAGCCTTGTAGTAAAGTCCACAGTCTGGGAGTGTGATGCCTCCGGCTTTGTTCTTTTTGCTTAGGATTGCTTTGGGGCTATTCAAGCTCTTTTTTGCATCCATATGAATTTTGTTCTTTCTAGATCTGTGAAAAATGATGCAGGTAGTTTGACAAGGATCGCGTTGAATCTATAGATTGCTTTGGGCAGTACAGACAGTTTAATGATATTGACGCTTCTGATCCATGAAATGCTTTTGCATTTGTTTGTGTCATCTGTGATTTCTTTCAGCAGTGTCTTATAGTTCTCGTTATAGAGATCTTTCACCTTTTTGGTTAGATGTATCCCGAGGTATTTTTGTGTGTATGGCTGTTGTAAATGGGACTATAATCTTGATTTGGTTCTCGGCTTGAACATTCCTGGTGTAAAGAAACACAACTGATTTTGGGGTGTTGGTTTTGTATCCTATGACTTCACTGAAGTCGTTCATCAGTGCTAGGAGTCTTTTGGTGGAATCTATAGGGTTTTCTAGATATAATCATATCATCTGTGAAAAGAAATAATGTAATTTCTTTTTTTCCTATTTGAATACCTTTTATTTCTTTCTCTTGGCTGGTTGCTCTGGCTAGGACTTCCAGTTCTATGTTAAATGGGAGTGGTTCTTTCTACATGTTATGGTTCTTTCTGTGGTTTCTCTGTTAGAATTTTTGTACTAATATTGAGTCTCCCCCAAGTCACATTGTTACACTTTCAAATGTATAATGGTTCACTTAGAGAGATACTAGATGGTTAATGAACAGAGATAGATTACTTTTGAGAAATAATTATAATTAAAACTTCTTAATGCAGATATTTTATTTAGATTCTCAATAATATAAATATAATTTTACAGCTTAACCCTCTTTCGGGTCCACTCCCACTTAGGAGCTTTTCTTTCTTCTTTTTTTTTTTTTGAGTTGGAGTCTCACTCTGTCGCCCGGACTGGAGTGCAGTGGCCGCTCCCAGCCACCGCAGCCTCACCTGCTGGGCTCCAGCGATCTTCCGCCTCAGCCTTCCAAGTAGCTGGAATTACAGGCATGTGCTACCACGCCCGGCTGATTTTTTGATTTATTGTAGAGATGAGGTCTCGCTGCCCAGGCGGATCTTGAACCCGCGGGCTCAGGCAATCCACTCACCTCAGCCTCCCAAAGGCACGGGATTACAGGCTGAGCCACCGAGTCTGGCTTTTTCTTTCTTCTTAATAAACTCCTGCCTTAAAAAAAACTGATAAGATACACCTGCATGATGACGTGTTACGTGGGTATTAACAACGATAACTATGGAGAAATTATAACAGAGTGAAGTTCAAATTTAGAAAAGAGCAACATAAATTCAGAGGTTTCTTTTATTTCTTATGTTTTACACCATAACTAAAAGTACTGTCTGCACTACAGAAGTCAGGAAATGAATGCCCTGCCCCACGGGTTCCCAAGCCTTCCCATTTCAAAGAAGTCGAAATGGGAAAAAAATGAAACGTGTGGCTGGCTGCCAGATATAAGAACTCGTCCTCTTTAAGCATCTTTTCTACTCCTAGGGCATTAGTTTTCCATTGATTTTTTTTCCCTCCACTTTGTGTTTATAAACAAAACTTAGGTGAGAAAACATTGAGAAAATGTTTATTTGGTGCACGATTTAATGAGAAGTACCAAAGAATCATGGAGAAAACACTCATATGCAATTTGAGAAAAAGGGAGAAAAAAGAAAGAGCCACTGAGTGTAAAGTCTGGAGAAACCAAACAGATGTCCAGGAATTGAGAAGAGAGATTTTAAATGTTTACCCCAGCACTTTGTAATGTAGACTATGACTTTAATGCTAAAGAAAGACTGTAGTCTAACAAAGTTTGAGACAGATGTATTGGAAAAGCTATAATGAGAGGATATCTGAATGATATTGGATTTTATACATATTACAATGAGATCGGTGATAAAATATGACCCAGAGATAATGCTCAAGTGCAGTGAGGTATTAATAATTTGAGATAGGTAAGAGCATTTAAATTTATCAAAATGAGTTCACCAATGAATTCCTAATAAGGTCAATTAGGGAATTATTTTAGTGAGTACAATATAAGGATTATTCACAATTAATAAATCACTTATTTGTAGAAAAATGGTATTTCTAAAACTCCTGGGGGTACCTGACAAATGGTTTGTTCCTATGAGTTTTAAACATTCTCCCTGTAATATAGTTGACACTATCAATCTGTAACATATATCTATGAAAATGAGGAGGCTTGCCAAGCAAAAGTCTAATCCCTTCCTGAATACACTCTCAGTAGAAACCCTTACATTTCACCATTAAAAAAACGTAATTTTATCAGGTCTATGAAAGAAATAGACAAAAGCTGATTACAGTCAATAAACATTTATTTTGGAGGCAAAGGAATTGAGAGGCTGAGTAGTAATTAGAAAGAAAAAGTAGGTTCAGCAGCAGTCATATATAGTAAAGTCCATTAGTCCATATGAGGATTAGTCCATAGTAGTCAGCCAGATGAAAGAACCAAGTTTAAGGAGATGAAGAGAAGCCGGGCTCGGTGGCTCAGCCTGTAATCCCGTGCCTTTGGGAGGCTGAGGTGAGTGGATTGCCTGAGTCAGCGGGTTCAAGACCCACCTGGGCAGCGAGACCTCATCTCTACAATAAAATAAAAAAATCAGCCGGGCGTGGTAGTGCATGCCTGTAATTCTGGCTATTTGGAAGGCTGAGGCGCAAGGATCGCTGGAGTCCAGCAGGTCGAGGCTGCGGTGGCCAGGAGCAGCCACTGCACTCCAGTCTGGGCGACAGAGTGAGACTCCAAGTAAAAAAAAAAAAAAAAGAAGAAGATGGAGAGACACTGTAATAAAGCCAAAAGGGCAAGATAAGAGAAAAAGGCAAGGGAACAAGAAAGCTGGTGGACAGGTGAATCACAAGTCCTATGAAGACCAGAGACAGACACCTAAATAGTTCAACTAAGATACAACCAAGAGTGAGGAAACTGATAGTCAACTACAAAAAAACTGAAAAATAACTCTGACTCTCTTTTAAGAGAGGAAGTTTTACGCTGACCTCTCATGTTCATTTCCTAGGAATTCCCTGGAATCAGTGTTTCCTAAAGCAGGGAGTCAGAAGGTTTTTCTTACTGTATACAAGGGTCAACACTGAGAATCTACTCAATCGGAGATGCTAATACATACCCCTAGCTGAAGAGTATAGGACGCAAGAAGCAATGACGCATAGTCCACATCCACAGTGGCTTTGTGTTCACTATTCACTGTAACTAACAACTACTGATACTTAAAATTGTGAAGTTGTAGAATTAGACTCCATGCACATTCATAGTACTACATTAGGTAACTTTACATAACAATAGATTGAGTTCCAAAGAACCTTCTTGGTTTGAAATATAAACTTCTTTTTGATTCTTATTAATGGAGACACACTTAATAGTGATTATGATAATTAAGATCACTTGAACTTTCACTTACACCAGTTTATATTTCAAAAAGCTTTCACACAAGTTATCTAGTTTAGTTAGCATTTGGTACACATTAAGTTGGTCATTACAGCAGGCTTTAACTATATATCCTAGCATGGTATGTTAATTTCAAATTGATATTTTATATAACTCAAAGTAAAAATCTGTTTGTTCATAATCCTTTTGCAACTGACACTTTTCAAATCATCATCAGATATCTTAAAAGCAAAAACAAGATAACCACATTTTGAAAACTAACATGGAATTCAGACTTTCTCTATATCCAAGATACATTCTTTTTTTTTCCCTGGAGTTGGAGTCTCACTTTGTCGCTGAGGCTGGAGTACAGTGGCACACTCACAGCTACCCCAGCGTCGACCTGCTGGACTCTGGTGATCCTTCCACCTCAACCTTCCAAGTAGTCGGAATTACAGGCACGCGCTACCCGCCTGGTTAATTTTTGATTTATTGTAGAGACACGGTCTCGTCAAGTTGCCTGGGATGGTCTCGAACCCGCGGGCTCAGGCAATCCACCTGCCTCAGCCTACCAAAGTGCTGGGATGATAGCCCGGCCAATACATTCTTAAGAAAGACTTTTGACACTGTATTTTTACAATATTAGAAGAAAAGAGCCAACATAACTCCTCACTGAGAATTTCATTTCCAATATGGAACTATAAGCCTCAAGAAAATTGTTTTTCTATGAAAGGCAGATAATCAAAAATCATAGTATATGTTTAAATAGTCTAGGCTCAAACTTAGGAAAGAGTATTCTTTTAAAGAAGTAAAAGTAAGAACATGTTACTCTACATAAAGCATGAACCACAGAAACGTACTAAACATACTTCCATGGATGACTGTCAACACTATTCTCAGAACCATGCTCTCCTACGTAAGGAGAGGGCTTAAGAAAAATGACCCTGTCTCTCATGGAACACAGAGATGTCTTCCAATTAACCTCTAAGTTATCTCAAGCTGTGGAAAATTACAATTATTGTCTGTGAGTAGCTACCCACTCAAGACTATGTGGAATCCACTGCCCTTCCTCCCACTGGGAACCCACTTTTGTTAGAATTTTATTCCAAAACTAGAACTTCAGTTATTCTTACTATTACACCAGAGCAGAATATATATGCACACACATATGTATGTATGGATATGTGTCTGTGTATGTATGTTGTATGTATGTGTGTGTATGTGTGTGTGTGTGTGTGTGTGTGTGTATAATTCCATCCTGTTTTCTGACAGAAGCTTCTAACACCATGCACTGAGCTAGAAAGGGCTGATGTTTGAAAACTGATAGACAGCAGCTTTTAGCCCATATGAGATACCTGTTCCCGTCTTTCTTTCATTTTTTCCAGCCTCTTAAGTTTTGTGGCATATTCTTGAGCTTCTTTTAATCCAATATCTGTGCAGAAACGAACCAAGAAACGCAGGCCTGAATTGAGAAAAACATAATATGGTTAGGAGAAAATAGATGGACAGTGTTGAGAATTAAACAAATCAATGAGCTCAGTCTTTAAGGACTGAGGTAGGAATGATGCTCACAAATAGTGATTCTCTCCTGAAAAAGAATGGCACTTTGCAATCTGTGGCCCCAGAGGACTGAGCTCCTTGTGAGGGGCTTTACAGAGCGTCTCTCCTGGAAGGACACTGCCAAGAGAGGACGTAAAAGGCAGGCGGAATCTGTTCATATTCTCTCAAAGTGTATAAATATACCAGGGATGCCAAATAAGTGTATGCACATTTTAAGAAATGTTATCTAAGAATGACTTTTCAAAGTTGAATTAAATTACAGTAGCAATATGTAGTATGATGTTCGCTCAAAAGATGGCATTCATCAAATGAATGCTAGTGTCACCATGCGACAGGTAGAACAGTCAAAGAAAATGGGGGAAGCATAGCTGTCGTTCAATGAACGCAAGAGTATTTTGAAGTGGTATTTGAAATATGAGAACGCTGTGGAAGTACAATAACAATGGAGGCCTGAGTATGCCACAGAACCTCCAACACACCTCACAACTGCATGCATTCATAGTAAGTTTGAGAGGCATGGTCCTGTGTGTGACGTGCACAAGGGAAGACCTGAGTGACCTAACTCTGCAACAAGTCCTGCAGGAGTTCGCCATCATCAGAAGTGTCTGGACGCTGAGGGGAACCACTTTCAGCACCTCTTGCAAACGTGACTTGCATTCATCTTTTGTTATTGGTATCTATTGAATATTACAATTTTAATACAGGTTTTTCCTTTCTTGAAATATGAATACAGTCGGGTGTGGTGGCATAGCACTTTGGGAGGCCAAGGCAAGAGGACTGCCTGAGATCAGGGGTTCAAGACCAACTTGGTGATACCTCATCTCTACAATAAACCAAAAAAATTAGTCAGGTGTGGTAGTTCTGGCTACTTGGAAGGCTGAAGTAGAAGGATCGCCTGTGCCCAGCAGGTTGATGCTGGGGTGGCCGTGAGTGTGCCACTGCACTCTAGTCTAGGCGACAGAGTGAGACTCTGACTCAAAAAATAAAAAAATAAATGTAATTACATTTTTTTGGCCTCTGTATGTAAAATGTTGTAAGAGTAACTAGGCTAAGAAATGTAGACAGTCCATACATACAATAATAATCATGACTAATACAGGTTCTTTTTACTATCAGTAAATTCATTCTTTTTTTTTTTGAGTTGGAGTCTCACTCTGTTACCCAGACTCGAGTGCAGTGGCCGCTCCTGAATTCATTCTTTCAATAAATATTATTAACACTATATGCAAAATATTGGGAATGTAAAAAGGATGTATTTCACAGTCAACATCGAATAAACACAGAAAATGGCAAAACGGGGTGGGAATGAACGCCTGCAATGGACCATCTAGTGAGGGCGTCCACACCGTGCCTCGGCCCAGAGGTTCCTTCCATCTGCTCCCACACTTCCAACCCCGAGTGTTTTGTGTTTATCATTTTCTTGCACAAAATAACAACAAAATCCTTTTTATCACATCCATATCACCAAGTGACATTCTGGCTAGTGCTGCTTGCTACTGAGTCTTATAACAATGGTAATGTTCTGCATACAGTCTTTGGTAATTTGCTTTTACATTCAAGTCTGTGATTCTAAAATGTGAAAAACTACGCAGTGGATGCTAAAAGCCACAATAATTCTGTTTTTATATTGGCAAAGAATAGTCTTTGCCTTTTATGGTCTAAAATACATTGAAATATTTTTATCTCATATTAAAATAATTTTTTCACCTCAATACAACAGCAATGAAGCTCACTGTATGGAATCTGTAAAACATGTACCCCCAAAAGCCCCAAATGCCCATTACCCTTCCAAGAGACAAAACTAAACTTTTGAAAATATTTATTTTCATGCTTTCTCTTTTCTATTCTACAAAGAAAACAATCTCAGTTTAAGTTAAAAAATTAGTTTCTACTGTCTGCCAAATATTTTGACATGCCATAATCTTATCAAATAGTTTATGAAATGTCATAATTCATCAAAATATGCTATGATATGCCATAAGTTTATTCATCTTACTGAGCATTAAAGTTGTTTTCAAGTATCTACATGCCTCCCTATTTTCTTGGAATAAGTTATTAATACCTAAGAGTGGTACTACTGGAGCCAAACACTGTGGTCACCCAGAGGCTGCTGACATACATCCGCTCTCGAGGGAGGCTGTCAGCCACACTCTTGGGGGAAGCTTACGACAAGGCTCCCTGCTCTCTTTTCTTCTTCCCAAGAAATTGCTTTTTATTCCTCATGAAATAGTACAAATTAAACAGCTTATCATAACTTTTCTCTTTGCTTTAGCTGCCAGACTACTCAGGGCCAAATGAACAGTTCAGTGGGACTATGTGGCACAGGAATGTGATTGCTTTATGTTTTTCTTGATGCTGATGTTGTTGCTTTAATTACAGTTCACATGACCACTGTGAGCTGCATCAAATCTATTGTGCAACAAGCTGGGAAATTAATGAGTATTTTCTACAAAGCTAACTTTACAACTGAAAAATAGGTAACATCAAAGTAATATTTTAAAATTACAGTAACATTAAAAATAATTTGCTAGCACGACAAGATTATTAGTGTTGTTTTCATAAACTCTAAAATTATTTTCTCAACCTCAAAAAGCTGCAAACTAAAACAGTTAAAATGCCTTTCCTATAAACATTATAGGTTTTAAAAAATCAGTAATAAGCTGAAATTTATTCTTAAAATTTTATAAAACTTTGAAATACAGAACTGCTCACTACTGGAGAGAATTCAGTGGTATATTTAAATCCATCAACAGTTAGTTCTATAAAAATATGTACTTGCATAGTAAACTTTTCAGATCCTATAAAGACATTTAAACATATGTACCACAAATGACAGGCTGGCATTTATGTATGCAATTACGGTAGCAAGTGTAATTAATATATATATTATATATTAGAACATAAAGTGTGAGAATCTATACCTTCAAAGTTACAAAATTTGATATTACTTACATTCAACATTTTCTGGGAATTTTCTGTGAATATCTTTATAAGTATCTAATGCTTTTTGGTAATTACCTATAAATAAAAAAAGAGAACAATATAACACACTAGCAAATTATAGACACTGATAGTATTCAGAAAAATATTAATTGTAATTCAATATACTGGCATACTCTAATGGTTTAACAGAAAGGGTTCACGTTTTATATGCCACTCAACTTCTAGAAGAAAAATGAACAGATAAAATAAATTTGAAAAACAAAAGGGTTGGAACAGAAGTAAATGGATGATGGTTGAAACTTAGTTTTCACTTCTTCTTTTTTTTTTTGAAACAGAATTTTTCTATGCTGCCCAGGTTAGAGTGCAGTGGCTATTCACAGGTGTGGCCGTAGCTCACTACAGCCTTCCTCCTGGGCTCATGTGATTCTCCTGTTCTCTGTCTCTTGAGTAGCTGGGACTACAGGCCATGCCCAGCTCATTTCTTAAAATAAGGATTTTAGTCACAAAAATTAGGATTCACTCAATTTCCTAAAAAGGAGTAATCCAGATGAACAACTGACAAATTTTAAAGTAACCTAGCCAGGCGTAATGGCTCATGCCTGTAATCCCTGCACTTTAGGAGGTAGAGGCAAGAGGACTGCGTAAGCCCAGGGGTCCAAGACCAGCGTGGGCAACTTGGCAAGATCTCATCTTTACAATAAATTTACAAATTAGCTGGACATGGTGGTGTGCACCTGTCATTCCAGCTACTTTGAAGGCTGAGGTGGAAGGATCGCCAGAGCCCAGGAGTCAAGGCTGTGGTGGCTGTGAGCGTGCTACTGCCCTCTAGGCTGGGTGACAGAGTGAGACTCAGATTAAAAAAAAAAAACCCAACAGTAATCTAAGTGAAATACTAATAGTAATTTCAATGCTATTCATTTAGTTAGAAAATATTAACAAAAAAATTTTATAGTTTTTTAAAACATTAGTTTATAGAAAGCAATTTGTTTTGTAACAAAGTAATTTAGCCTCACATAGCAGCAAAGAATAGGAAAATGAGTTTGGATCAAATATCTTTGCTACAATCTCAACAAACAAGTTATAAATCTCTACAGGCCTGCCCATGTGAGAGGAAGCTGCTCTAACCCTCCAAGGCTTGAGAGACCCAAAAGAAACCGAGGCAACAGCCAGCACACGGCAGGTTCTCAGCACTGGCTGCTGCTTCCGACCTGCCCTTCCACAGCTCAAACAGGCTGTGTCTTTCAGTCACTCCGAATAGCTCACATGTGCATGCTCGTACACTCTCTATATGACTGATGTTGAAACCAACAGGCGATTGAGAATGCACACGACAGAAACAAAATGTGTATGCTACAGGACATACATCTAGATACTGGCTGTCCCTCAGGAGCTGCAGTGATGTTCAAGGTCACCCCTTAACTGATTTGAGGACTGAGTTATCTATGAAACATTTCTGATGCCATTCTGAGGGTGCTCACAGAGATAAAGAAAGAAACCTTCACAAAACTTGGTGAGAACACACTGTCAATACTTTCAACATTTGTGTTTCCCTTGGATTGAAGAATTTCTTTCCTTGGGTCATTGTGCTCTACAAGGGGGATTAGACATGTTAACATTTATCTCCCCGCTAAACTTTTGAGAGTTTAAGTATTTCCCTCACTTCATGGTTAGTCTAAAACTAATAGCATCTCTGCCCTTCAGGACACGTATCATCAGTGCAGGATGGAATAAAAGCAGTGACAAAAAACACAAACTAAGAGATGTTGAGATCTCTGGTTTATGAAACACACAGTCCCAGTTCTCCCAGTCCTGGCTTTTCTTGGGTCTTTCACGTGTGAGAAAGTTTCATTAATTTGGCTGAGCACACAGGACACTTAGAACCAAGTGAGTAGAAAATGGAAATATAAATGAATGCACACAGAATGCTTATGTTTTTCTGTGGTTACCCTATGAAAATTATTACATGTTAAATTTGAGAGAAAATAAATCTGTTTTTAAGAAAAGTATTGGCATATATGACTAATACCCACTTTGCAAGCATCACCTTTTCTGTATGTAGTTAATTATTGTTTTTCATATAATGCTTCAAATATGTGTAGCCATCAAAAGCTGCTGTTTTAATAAGCAGACATGCAGCTGGGACACATTTATACTCATCATTACTTAAAAGAAGGAAAGAAGCAAACATCTAAAAAAAGAATAAAATTAAAGTATTTACCACTTCTTCTAAAACAACTAGCTACCATTAACTGCCATTTCACTTGTGTAGGCCTATAAAAGAAATAAATTAGACAAAATTAGAAAAGAAACCAAAATAATCTGTGGTGTTACAACAGTTTTATAATGCTGTATATCTGTACAACTTTCCAATTTCTTTCTGACCTTTGTTAGGTCACTTTATTACTGAAAAGAGCAGAAACATAATTCCCTTCATCATTGCCTATCTTAAATTTCTGTGAAGACGTCTTCAAAGTTAATTTAGTTTATGACTTTACTAGATATTCTATTTTTTTTTTTTTTTTTTTTTTTTTTTTTGAGTTGGAGTCTCACTCTTGTTGCCCAGGCTGGAATGCAGTGGCAAGCTCATGGCCTCTGTAGCCTCGACCTGCTGGGTTTAGGCGATTCTTCCACCTCAGAGTTCCAAGTAGCCAGAACTACAGACGCACCCCACCACGCCCAGCTAGTTTTTGTGATTTATTGTAGAGACGAGGTCTCACCAAGTTGCCAGGTTAGTCTCAAATCCCTGGGCTCAGGCAATCCTCTTGCCTTGGTCTCCCAAAGTGCTGGGATTACAGGCTGAGCCACCGCGCCCAGCCTTTATTAGATATTCTTAAGAGAATCACTTAACCTGTTGGGTTAAAAACCTCAGCATTCTATTTTAAACATGACCATCACTTCTACCATAACCTTTAATCATAATGTTTAGGCTTGCAAATGTAGTGCCCAAGAAGCAATGTTTGATCTTGTGTTTGAACAAACAGGCTTCAGCTAAAGAGAGTGAAAAAATTCCATTCATTCCTTTTTGTCCTTTAAAAGGAAATCTAATTGTTTTTTTTTAAGATAAATAACCATCCCCAGGATTTGTAAAGACTTGTTAAAAACATCTAAAAATAGCAAGAATTGAAGAAAGGAAATTCCAAGGAACAATTTAACGCTCTCCTCATTTTTTGAGTCTCTCTTCTAAGTAGAGGTTGATGGCTTAAAGGACACCTCCGTTCCCACTAGTTCTGAGAGGAAAACTGCCGGCTATGGAATCAGACAACTCTGGGGCAAGCCACTTAACTCCAAATCCATTGCCTCCACGGCCACCCACTGGGATCTAAATAAAATACACAGACTCCAAGCACATGGAGTCCCTCCTTCACACCTGATCCCTCCTCTCCACCTACGTGCTGACTCCAAGACTCATCTGCTCCCCAGATCTCTTCTTCTTCTCCAGCTCATCTCCCACCATGCCTCACTCAGCATTTCCTGTTAAGGCAAGAAGACAGAAGCAGGGCTTACCGGACTCCCCACATTTCTAGACTCCTGGCGTGGCACCCACCATCGCCTCTGCTGGAGGCCCTCTCCAGCCTCTATGCTCTCCTGTGCCAGGTTGGACTGCCTGTTCTGTGCATCCTTCCACCCCAGAATCCCTCAGCACTGCACCTGGCATGCAGTATGACTGTGCATTCATGTTTCAGAAGCCAACAGAACCCTCCTTCCTCTGCAAAGGTAACTACTATCCTGATTTCTAACACTGCCAATCTAGCCTGTTTTTAAACTTTAAATGAATAAAATCATATAGTATCTTTTTAAAACAGTTTAATTATTCAGATATCATTCACATTTCACATAATTCACCCAGTTAAAAGTATATAATAGTTTTGGGTGTATACATTTTCAAAAATTATGATAAAATCCACACAACATAAGAGTTGCCATTTTTAGGTATACAATTTCAGTGGCACTGATTCACTCTGTGCTGCGTAACTATCACCACGATCCATCTCAAGACATTTTTGTGACTCTCAACAGAGACGCTGCAACCATCAAGCAGTAACTCTTCATTCCCTTCCTCCAATCCCTGGTAACCTCAAATCTACTTTCTGGATATATCTGCTCATTTTTAGACATTTCAGGTAAGTGGAATATTTTGTCCTTTTTAAAAATTTTTTTTTTTTTTTTTGCCTGGCTTCTCTCACTTAGCAGAATGTTTTCAAGGTCCTCATGAAAGTCATTCTGGTAGCCCAGAGCACTGTTGAGCAGCAAAAGAATGTGGAATGCGATGTCCTTCTCCAAGCAATATTTCTCTCCTCCAGGATAAAGTGGTGGAAAAACCAGTCCTGGAAAAGGGCTGTGTAACCCAGGCTTTGGGGTTCCTCTTCCACACAACAGGAAGAGAGCCCTTGGCTGCGTGTTGAAGGGCTCTTGGGTTCTCTGAATGATAAATTAAGAGAGGCTTCAACTTCATATCTCCGGACGCATAGCCACCAAACAACAGAGTTAGCCTGTCCTCTGCTGCTTTCCAGCATCAACTTCTCCTCACTGATATAACTGTGGTCTGGCATCTTCTTCCAGGGCAGTCCTGTCTCTTCCACACTGAAAACCTGCTTGGGTCAATACACGTCGTCATCAATAATTTCTCCAAGTGTTTCAGGAAACTCCCGGGCAGCTACCGTCTCTGCACTTTCTGCTTCGCCAATTACTCTTATGTTGTGAAGATTGGCTCCAGCCTTGAACCAAAGACACCAGCCATGGCTGCCATTAGAAAATGTATCTCTCGTATGTTTATCGCAGCATTGTTCACAATAGCAAGAACCTGGAAACAACCATGCTGCCCATCAAAAGAGGACTGGATTAAAAAAATGTGGTACATATACACGATGGAATACTACGCAGCCATAAAAAAGAACAAAATCATGAATTTCACTGCAACCTGGATGGAACTAGAGTCTATAATACTGAGTGACCTCTCACAAAAACAAAAATCCGAATATCACATGTTCTCACTCATATAATGGACCTTGAACATCCAATGCAATACTATGAGAAAATGACAGATGGTACTGAGAAACTATGGGGGGGAGGGGGATGGGATTAACAGTAGCAAATATCTGTCGGGGGATGGGAAAACACTTCTTATCTACAGGGTGCCTGAATGAAACGTCATTGTACACCTAACCCTTAACTGTACCCCACAAAACCATAATTAAAAATACTGATTAATGAAAAAAAAAAAAAAAAAGAAAATGCATCTCTGATTCTTCACCGTGTTTCTTCAAGTCTTCACACCGGCATTTGGCTTTCTCTTTAATCAGCATTAAGCTGAGCGGGACTCAACACTGATGCCGGTTGTGCATCCACACGCTGAGAAGGCTCTCCATCTCCTCCATCACTTTTCCATGCTTCTTCAATGTTATTGGTGACATCATCAGCACAGCAGACTTCACATGTTCCATGACCTTGTCCTTGTTCTTCAGAATTGGGCCAACAGCTGAACGATTCACGTTGTAAGAATGAGTGATGTCTACCGTCTTCTTGCCTCACTCCCCTCTCTCAATTATTTTCACTTTTGTTTCCATCAGTGTTGCTTGGTATATCTTAGCGTGACCAGCTACATCACCGCTGCTTTTATGCTTGCTTCCGGACATCCTGGGCTTGAAATAAAGATACCATACTCTATACAGTATTGCACGGGAAAGTACACAAAAGCACAACCACTTGTAGGAGATGTACACAATGTGACAATGTACCCAGGCACATGAACCTCCATGATTGGACATGTGAATGCATGTGTGCATCCTTGAAAGTTCACAGCTTGAAGGTCCATGCACAGGGGACTTACTGTACTTATGTATGTTAGATGTACAACTATAAATTTCTCTTTTAGGACTGCTTTTGCAGCATCTTATAAGTTTTAGTACACTGTGTTTCACTTTTATTTTTCCCAGATATTTTTCAGTTTCCCTGATGATTCCACTGGTTAAGAGTGCATTGTTTAATTTCCATATGCTTGTCAATTTTCCAGTTTTCCTTCTGTTATTGATTTCTAGTTTCATTCCACTGTGACAGGGAAAGATACTATGTATGGTTCTAATCTTTTCAATTTATTAAGATTTGTTTTGTAGTCTAACATATGGTCTATCCCGGAGAATGTTGCATGTGCTTTTGAGAAGACTATTCTTCTGTTTTTGAGTGCTTTGCATATAACTGTTAGCCCACTGGTTTATGGTGTTAAGTTCTCTGCTTCCTTATTGATCTTCTATTTGGGGTTCTACCCATTACTGAAAGTGGTCTATGGAAGTCTCAAACTATTATTCAAGAGTTGTCAATTTCTCCCTTGAATTCTTGCAATTTTTGCTTCATATATTTTGGGGTTTCTTTGTCAGGTTTTTGTTTAGAAGTGTCATACATTCTTGCAGTAATGAACCTTTTACCAATGTGCAATGTCCTTCTTTGGCTCTTGCGACCTTTTGTGATTTAAAGTCTATTTTGTCTGATAATAGCCACCTAGCTCTCTTTTATGTATAATTGCTGGAATCTCTTTTTCAATTATTTCTTCTTTTATTTTCAATCTCTTTTGTGTCCTTATATCTAAAGAATCTCTTGTAGACAGGATATAGATGCATCTTTATTTTTTTATTCAATCTGTTAATTTCTGTCCTTAATGAGAGAGTTTAATATAAATATAGTTAATGTAATCACCGATATAGAAGGATTTGTTTCTAATATTTAACTATGTTTTTTGCATGTCTTACTTTTTTCTTTCCTCAATTATTCCATTACTACCCTTTTTTGGTAGTTTGTTGATTTTTTGTAGTTTACTATTTTGATTCCACTCTTTTTCTGTATATTTTTAGTTATTTTCTTAATGGTTACCTTGGGAATTACAACTAGCATCTGGACTAACAGTTCAGATTGAAAAATACCAACTTAATTTTAGTAGTACACAAATACCATGTTATTATGTCTCTCCATCCCTCTCCCTTTATATTGTTATTGTCACACGTTACATCTTCATATATTGTATGCCCATTAACATGGGTTTATAATGATTGCTTTATGTATTTGTTTTCTTAATCAGACAGGAAAAAGAAATTACACCAAACCAAAAGTACAATAACACTGGTTTTTATATTCACCTATAAAGTTGCCTTTACAAGTACTCGTTACTCTTATGTATTCAAATTATTGTCTAGTGTCCTGTTATTTCAGTCTGAAGGATTCTCTTTAGCATTTCTTGTAAATAGGTGTGCTGGTCATGAACTTCCTCATCTTGTGTTTATCTGGAAACATCTGAATTTCTTAATTTTTGACCAACCACTCTGCCAGACACAGAATTCTTGTTTGACAGTTGGTTTATTTTAAACCAATTTCAGAACTTTATGTAATTCTGCTGCTTTCTGGCCTCCAAGGTTCCTACTGAGAAATCTGCTTACCCTTTGAGGGTCCCTGCATGTGATGAGTCACTTTTCCTCTTGCTGTTTCAAGATCCTCTTTTTATCTTTAGACAGTTTAATTAGACTATGTCTCATTGTGGGTCTTTTGGGGCTTTTCCTATTTAGAGTTTATCGAGCTGCTAGGACTTGTAAATCCATGTCTTTCCTCAAGCTTGGGATATATGACCATTTCCTCAATCCTGTCATACAAGCTGGAGTGCAGTGTCACCATCAGGGTTCACTGCAGCCTTGAACTTCTGGGCTCAAGCCATTCTCCCGCCTCAGCCTCCCAAAGTACTGGGATTACAAGCGTGAACCACTGTGCCTGACCTTGATAAATATTAAGAACATTCTCTAATGCTGTTCAAGAATGGAATTACATTACATACGTCAGTTAGGACTAGGATTTCTGGACGTTTTAAGACATAACTTGCGAATATAGAGCAAATAAAAAACAACAGAATAGGTTTAAACCAATTAACAAAAATACCAGATTACTAAAAATCATAAAAATCTAAGAGATACAGCAAGTTGAGGAGTAGCTATAATAAAAAGTGGCATTACAGAAAATTTAACTTAATTCAATATACACTAAGCTGAACAAGTAAATGATATATATATATATTTTTTGAGTCGGAGTCTCACTCTGTTGCCCAGACTGGAGTGCAGCGGCTGCTCCCGGCCACCGCAGCCACGACCTGCTGGGCTCCGGCGATCCTTCCGCCTCAGCCTTCCGAGTAGCCGGAATTACAGGCATGCGCTACTACGCCCGGCTGATTTTTTGATTTATTGTAGAGATGAGGTCTCGTTGCCCAGACGGGTCTCGAACCCGCGGGCTCAGGCAATCCACTCACCTCAGCCTCCCAAAGGCGTGGGATTACGGGCTGAGCCACCGAGCCCGGCTAAGTAAATGATATTTAAATAATATGTAAAGAACTGCATGACACAAGAACTAACACTCCTCACCCCCCAAAGCGTACATTTTTATTATAGAAGTAAACTTATATAACAAATCAAGACTTCACATATGAGAGAAAATGTGAAAATTAAGATATATAGTACAGAAAACAAGTAAATGCTCGAAAGAGGAGAAATAATGAGTGTACACTGAATGCTTCTGGCACTGAGACAGAAAGTTCAGACAGGTGCAAATGAAGTTAGTTTATCAGACAGAAGGGAGTGAGAAATGTTAGAATGGTTTCTATAAAAGGCTTCTGTGTTCTAGAAACTGAAGTGTAAAATAGGGAGGACCGAAGAGATATGAGAGGAAAGTGGGGAGAAGTGCTAAAGATTGAGTGCATGTTCACACCACACAGATTTGTGTGGCATCGGTGCCCCTGGTCACATACCTGATCTCCAACAGGGCTGCAAAGACTGTGCACAGAAATGGAATCAATGGCTAGACTCACCCAAGAAGCGAAATTTTTTGGAACAAAGGAGGTTGCAAAGCAAGACAGAAAGAGGAACCAAGGATGTCGGCAAGAAAGGAAACAAATGTGCTCAGTTAAGCAGTCTAGTGAAGACAGGCTCAGATGTAAAGCCAGAAGGAGGTTGAGATTGTCAGCAAAGGTGGGGTCAGCGGACTGGCAGTCCTGATATCCCAAAAGAACAATGTGAGAGCATGGAAAGTGGATAACACGAGAGCTGGGAAGATGGGAGGTGATGTCATACAGGCGGACATCGTGATGTAAGATTTATGGGTGTAAATGTGCTACTGATCATCAGAAGCAGCTGAGACCCAGGGAACTGAACTACAAAGAGGGTAAAGGTCAATGAGGTACGGATGTCTAACCTCTGAAGCTAGAAGATTAATGGGATGCAGAGAGAATATAGACCAGTTTAGGTAAGGGAATGACTGTCAGATCAACATGTGACATCCACATACAAGAGTCAGGATGGAACCATGATGGACTGAGCCTCATGGAAGACAGGGTCTCACATGAGGTGAGTTTATAGGGAGTGTTAAGTGTGATAAAAGGCTAACAGTGTACTACCTAAACAGCTGGGGTCTTAAAGGTGTAAACTAAAACCATCCCCCATCCTTGGTAATTATAGAACATAATGTAGAACAAATGTCACAAAAATGATTTGCCTGATACAGATTCCACACAGAGATCATTTAAATTGTGGAGCATTCCTGTATAGCTCAAATAATTCTAAGTTACACTTCATCTTAAAATTCACTATGGTCAAATATGAAGCAAAACATGGTGTATTCCAATTATTTTTGAATCAGACACTCAAAACATTCTGATATGAACTTAAAGATATTAGAATTTTTACAGAAATTAAACTTTGTCCTAAGGCTGAGTCATTATCTTATTGATTAAAAAAATAAAACTCTATGTAAAAAGAACTATATTTATCACAATAAAGACCAAGAAAAATGTAACAAAATATAAGACAACAGAAACAATTCGTGAATGTTCATCAGCATCTGTTCTTGAATTTACTAGGTCTATCAGATACTAATTCTAGGGATAAAAAAAATTTCGACACAAGACATAAGCATAAAATCCTAACAGTTACTTACTGTATAAGAGAAGCCCTTTCAAAGTATGGAATGGCTTTTTCATAGAGTTGGGTGTCAATGTAATAGGCTCCAAGCCACTCAATGACTTCAATATTAGAAGGGAAATATCTGTATGACTGGAAAAAACATGGAGTGTGACAATACAACTTCAGTGGCAACATATAATTTACTTCTTGAATACTTTACCTATTAATGAATTATTTTATCCAATGTGAAATTTCTTAATGAAAAAGTATGAGCTGCCACAAGTAACTACACAATATTTAGAAAACTTAAGCTTTAACATATTTTCCAATTATCTGTAAGTACTATAAATACCTTCCCGATATACTGACATATGATCTGAGTCAACTATTTAAAATAATCAAAAAGGGATGTAAATCATGCTTCAAGAGAAAATGAATTTGAAATTTTGATTCCCTTTTTTAAGAGACAGGGTCTTGCTCTCTTGCCCGGGCTTGAGACCAGTGGCACAATCACAGCTCAGCGCAGCCTTGACCTCCTGGGCTCCAGCCATCCTCCTATCTTGGCTACTCAAGCAGCTACGATTATATGTACGCGCCACCACACCTGGCTAATTTACTTTTTGTTGATCTGGGGTCTCACTATGTGGCCCAGGGTGGTCTCAAACTCCTGGGCTCAAGCGATCTTTCTTTCTTGACCTCCCAAAGCACTGGGATTACAAGCATGAGCAACTGCTCCTGGACCAATTTCATTTTTTTATTAAAGTTAATACAGAACTAACAATTCATCTTCTAAGAATACTTTATTTTCTTTCAAATGAATCTGTTCATTTAAAAACGAATCAGCTTTTCTAAATGCTTAAAGGCCTGCTCCTTCCTTATAACAATTCATTTTTAGGCCAAAGCATAGAAGGAAAGCAGGACATTATACCCACCTCGTAGTAATACTGAAATGCCTGGGCTTTGTCTCCAACGCCGTCATATAATTCTCCCAGTTTAGACAAAGCTTTGGCATCAGTTGGAACAATGCTGATCATCTGTGTCAGCCATTCGATAGCTTGGTTGGGGTCTTCCATTAATTCATATCTTGGGCAACATCAGTTAAGAAAAACAAATGTTCTAAACGCATTCACCAATGAATGAGCAAACCTAAGACCAGCATTCCAGTAGATATGCTGCATAGCCAGCCTGCGGGGACGTGCTGCTCTGTGGGTGCTACCTCTGACTTCTCTGGGGGGGGGGGACACAGGGCAGGCCTGTATGCAGCCCCCTTGCCCCGAGTACCCTGCTTTCTCTCTGGTTTCACACGATTCCTAAGAGCAAAACCCATGTTTCTAGGAGAACTATTCCTTTAGTACATAGTAAGTTCCTTGTATATATTCAGGTCATTTATTCATAAAATGACTGATTGACTACCACTTATTTTTACATTAGATATCTCAGTGAAATAAAAATATTCCAATCCAAAGTTTTCTTGAAAAAAAAAAGGATCTCTTATTTTTAATGATGATACATATGATACAAGAAAAAAATAAAACTAAGAAAATGTATTCAAATAGCCCCAAATATACCAACTGCTTGACTGGATCCAAAGAGATGATGAACTGGCAGTGTAAGGTCAGGATCCCGGCAGTTTCAGAGAAAGAAAATGAATAAAACAAAAACTTAAGTAATTAAGTTTTAATTTAATATTAACTAAATTAATTAACTTAATTGATTCTCAATACCAGTTAAGTGAATTAATGACTGTCCCTGAGTTTTTCAAATAAGATACATATTTGCTATCTGGTAAAGAACCTGGGCACTGTTTCGCAGGATTGCATGAAGTTTCAGGAAACAGTCCAAAGCCTCATCTAGCCGGTTCAGCTTCTTATAGGTCAGGCCTTAAAGAAAAGAAAGCAAGTCAGTAAGCAGCATGACTGGCAGTCGTTTACTCAAAGTAAATATATATAAATATTCATCCAGAAGAGATGATGAAGATCAGCTGAGGCTTTTTTCTTTTCTTACAAAAACCATGGGCTGGGGACTCGTTGGCAGATGCCAAGCCATGCACGAAACTTCTGTGGGTGTTAGGGGGTGGGGTGGGCAGGAACAGACAACAAGTTAACAATAGGGAGAGTGAGCGGCTCACAGATGCACTTGACGCAGGCGCAGCATTTAGTCAGTGGACATTTGAAGTCAGCGGGAGGAGGGTACTCGTAATAAGCAGTGCCAGGACAACTGATGACACACGAAGGGAGAAAATGGAATCTTAGTTGATGAAAAATATTATTATTATTATTATTTTTTGAGTTGGAGTCTCACTCAGTCGCCCGCTCCCGGCCACTGCAGCCTCGACCTGCTGGGCTCCGGCGATCCTTTCCGCCTCAGCCTTCCGAGTAGCCGGAACTACAGGCATGTGCTGCCACGCCTGGCTGAATTTTTGACTTATTGTAGAGATGAGGTCTCGCTGCCCAGGCGGGTCTCGAACCCGTGGGCTCAGGCAATCCACTCACCTCAGCCTCCCAAAGGCGCGGGATTACAGGCTGAGCCACCGAGCCCGGCGAAAAATATTATTTTTTAATAACTTATTTTTAAACTAAATCGAAAAACAAAGCTGTAAGAATATGAAAGGAGCAACCCCTTCGGGCGCCCTCCCACTGTGGGAGCTTTTCTGTCCTCTCAATAAATCCTGCTTTAAAAAAAAAAAGAATATGAAAAGAAATATGGGAAAAGAACTTTATAACTCTGGGGTAAGAAAAGGGCTGCATAAAGCAATACACACAGGCAGCCACACAGTTATAAAAAGCCAAACTTGACTATATTAATAACAGAAACACTGTGTGTGATAAAAGAAATTACAAACAAAGTTAGAAGTCAGGGAAAGGAGGGAAAGATCTTTAAAACACACAAGAGAAGAAAGAAGGTCACGTCTGGAGCCAAGCTTCAGCATGCAGGCCTGAGTTCTCCGGTCAGCGCTCCCACCTAGACGCCCCGTGGGCCGCCTACCCTCTGCCAACACCACATTCTCAGCGAGGTTCTCCAGGTTTCCTCTGAACTAGCACCTTTCTCTCTGCCTTTCCCACCCTAGGTCAACAGCAGGCCTCCCTCGTCCTTCAGGCAGGAGACTGCAGAGTCTTCTCCAGGAAGAAAGCCCCTGCCACTAACGGGCAAGTCTCCAACCAAACAGACCAGACTGACAC